TTTCTGCCATACTCCTTCCTAGACAGTCTCTTCCCATTCTGTATGTGTGAAACTGATTTTTCCTTCCTAAGTGCAGCACTTCACATTTGTCTTTGTTAAACTTCATCCTGTTTACCTCAGACCATTTCTCCATTTTGTCCAGAACATTTTGAATTATGATCCTGTCCTCCAAAGCAGTCGCAATCCCTCCCAGTTTGCTATCATCCACAAAGGGTATGACTAGCCCTTGGTGAATCCATGTTGACTGTTCCTGATCACCTTCCTTTCCTCCAAGTGCTTCAAAATGGATTCCTGGAGGACCTGCTCCATGATTTTACCGGGGACTGAAGTGAAGCTGACTGTTTTGCAGCTCCCCCACACACCCTGAGGCACACCCCCACCTTCACGGCAGCTCCCCACCCTCCCGGGCCCGGGGAGCCGTGCGGTAGCTCCCGACCCCAGCTGACCTCTGCTATGCCCCTTCCCCGAGCACACCGTTGCTGCTCCACTTCTCCCACCTCCCATGCTTGCAGTGCCAATCAGCTGTTTGGCACTGCAAGCCTGGGAGGGGAGGAGAAATAGAGCGGGGGCGGCGTGCTCAGGGAGGAGGCGGAGCAGAGGTGAGCTGGGGTGGGGAGCTGCCGCACGGCTCCCCAGGCCAGGGGGGTGGGGAGCTGCCGCGGGGGGGAAATTGGGGGCACCGCTTTTTGGCGACCCCAAATCTTGGCGCCCAAGCAACCACCTAGTTCGCCTTAATGGTAGCACCGGCCCTGCCCCATATCGCCACGATTTTTCAGAGATAATGGCCAATGGCTCTGCAATCACATCAGCCAACTCCCTCAGCACCCTTGGATGCATTAGATCTGAACCCATGGACATGTGCACGTCCAGCTTTTCTAAATAGTCCTTAATCTGTTCTTTCACCACTGAGGGCTGCTCACCTCCTCCCCATACTGTGTTGCCCAGTGCAGCAGTCTGGGAGCTGACATTGACTGTGAAGACCGAGGCAAAAAAAGCATTGAGTACTTCAGCTTTTTCCACATCATCTGTCACTATGTTGCCTCCCCCATTCACTAAGGGTCTCACACTTTCCCTGACCTTCTTGTTGCTAATATACCTGTAGAAACCCTTCTTGTTATCCTTCACATCCTTTGCTAGCTGCAACTCCAGTTGTGCCTTGGCCTTCCTGAATACACCCCTGCATGCGCTAGCAATATTTTTATACTCCTTCCTAATCATCTGTCCAAATTTCCACTTCTTGTAAGCTTCCTTTTTGAGTTTAAGCTCACTGAAGATTTCACTGTTAAGCCAAGCTGGTTGCTTGCCATATTTGCTGTTCTTTCTGCACTTCAGGATGGTTTGTTCCTGTGCCCACAATAAGGCTTCCTTAAAATACAGCCAGCTCTCCTGGACTCCTTTCCCCCTCATATTACCTTTCCAGGGGAACCTGCCCATCACTTCCCTAAGGGAGTCAAAGTCTGATTTTCTGAATTCCAGGGTCCATATTTTGCTACTCTCCTTTCTTCCTTTTGTGAGGATCCTGACCATCTCATGGTCACCGCTGCCACCCATTTCTACTTCCCCTAAAAAGCAACAGAGGGTCCTGTGGCACCTTTAAGACTAACAGAAGTATTGGGAGCATAAGCTTTCGTGGGTAAGACCCTCCTTTCTTCAGATGCAAGTAAAGAAGTGAGGTTCTTCCCCACGAAAGCTTATGCTCCCAAAACTTCTGTTAGTCTTAAAGGCGCCACAGGACCCTCTGTTGCTTTTTCGGGGAAGTAGAAATGGGAGGCCGCGGGGGCCA